ACGTATAAAACTAGGGTGACGTATAAAACCTTACCAAAACTGCAAAAATTAAGATACTTGAATTTTGAAAATTGCTTTTGGTTTCTGCATATTTACACTATGTGTGTACCAAATTTCAAGTGTCAGCAAAGCTTCGAACAAATTTGGCAAAGTTTCGAGTTTCAGATGCCGATGAATGTATAACACCTTATAGAACAAAAAGTTTTGCTCTCCTGATTTTCGGCTTTAACGTCATTATTGTATATATATTGAACTATAATTTTAAAAAGTTTTATCACTTTTTGTTTATAAAAGTTTTATCACTTTTTGTTTACAGCAACTTTAATAAATTGACGATTTATACAGTTTTTTCAATCTCACGGCTTTGTTATTACAAATTTCGTAATCGGACCACCGCCATTTTGTTGCTATTTTTATTACGAACAAAATCATGTCCTAAGCATTCTTTCGTACAAAGTCATCCCGCTGAGTTATTTAAAGAAAACTGCAAAAAAAGTTTCACTATTAAATTGTTAATAACTTTTTTTCCTGATAAAATACTTTGTCAGCAAATTAGCATGTTATTGTACTCATCATTTAAAGTAGGCCCGTGTAGTTATTTCCCCGTTATCAAGGTTTGACACAGGCCGAACCTCTATCAACTGGACTATATATAGACTGTGGACTTTTGATTTTTACTAAGAAATTTGTTGGTACATATAGTGTGTATTCTTTTTAACAAAAACAATAACATTTGAATCAAGTTCCATGTCCTGTTGCCTATAAAGAATAACATTCCGTTGGTTGTTATGGATTTTAGAAGCAAATTTGTCACGAATTTGGTTTTATTAGATACCTATACAGGGTAGCCCATCGAAAACGTACCGCAAGGCATTACAGGGTGGTAATGAACTTTTCGGCAAAATCAAAAAACAGGTAAAGTTTGTTTCTGAGGGGGACAACTTTTAGCGCAAAAAGCATAGCAAAATCTTCAACCCCCTAAGTGGGGGTGCCATCTCCCAAATTTTTTTAAATGGGAATGGGGGTCAAGTGGGGGGTCATTAGAAAGGGCTTTTAATTCTCTATACATCGATTCTTACTTTTTGAAAATCGATCCATTATTTTAGAAAATATGCAGCTTTGAAAATACGAACAATATTTTTGACGAGAAATGCGAAAATCGATTTAATTTTACTTCAAAACTTACGGTATTAGCTTGGTAAATTCCTTCAAAAGAATTCGCTGTTTTTTTTTTTGATTTGCGAATTCTTTAGCCTGATTTTGGTGAGCAAAAAATTGTCCGCTTTTTGTTTCGTATTTAGATAGGCCACAAGAAGTTGCTAGATAACTGTCTTGTGACTTGTAGTTGAAGAGTACCAATACTGCCGAGTCTTTTAAATTGATTAATTATGGTGTACTCAATTCCAGAAAGAGTAGAAATTATTGAGCTTTTTTTCAAAAACAATGAATGCGGAAATCGGGTCGCCGAACTGTTCAACCAACGGCATCCTGAGAAACATGCGTCTGGAAAAATTGTTCGCGAATTGGTGGCCAAATTTCGCGAAACTGGCTCCGTTCATAACAAAAAGAGGCAGGTTGAAAATCCGGTACTAAATGAACCTACGGAAATAGCGGTATTGGGGCAAGTGGCAATGGATAGTACGCTGAGTACAATGCAATTGGCTACTGCGACAGGAGTGAGTCGTACAAGTGTCCAACGAATATTAAAAAAATACAAATTCCATCCTTATAAGATTCGGCTAGTGCAAGAGCTAAATGAAGACGATTTTGATCGTCGTTTGCAATTTTGCGAAATAATGACTGAACGAGCGATAAACGATAATTTCCTCTTTAATGTGTGTTTTTCGGACGAGTGTACGTTCTTCTTGAATGGTTTAGTGAATCGCCATAATTGTCGTTACTGGGCTGATACCAATCCAAGGATTTTCCATGAGACACACTCCCAACACCCCCAGAAGTTGAATGTATGGGCAGGTATTTTTGGAAATTCCATTGTAGGTCCTTTTTTCCTTCCTGGAAATTTGACAGGCGATATGTACTTGGATTTACTACAAAATGTCATCGACCCAGCTCTAACAAATATCATAGAGGACGACCCTGCTTACAATGAACACGAACTGATTTTCCAGCAAGACGGAGCTCCTCCACATTACTCGCTCAATGTGCGCAATTACCTAAATGAGACGTTTCCAGGACGCTGGATAGGACGAAGAGGTGCAATTGAGTGGCCCCCTCGGTCACCCGACTTAAATCCTTTAGATTTCTTTCTCTGGGGGCACATTAAAAGCAAAGTTTACAGCACTCCACCTGATACCTTGGAAGATCTGCGAGGACGAATCATTAATGTATGTCGCGAAGTAACACCGCAAGTGCTCCAGAATGTTCGACAACGGTTTGAAGACAACCTGTATCATTGTATGCAAGTTGGCGGACAACATTTTCAGCATTTACTTGACTAATACCGTAAGTTTTGAAGTAAAATTAAATCGATTTTCGCATTTCTCGTCAAAAATATTGTTCGTATTTTCAAAGCTGCATATTTTCTAAAATAATGAATCGATTTTCAAAAAGTAAGAATCGATGTATAGAGAATTAAAAGCCCTTTCTAATGACCCCCCACTTGACCCCCATTCCCATTTGAAAAAATTTAGGGGATAGCACCCCCACTTAGGGGGTTGAAGATTTTGGTATGCTTTTTGAGCCAAAAGTTGTCCCCCTCAGAAACAAATTTGACCTGTTTTTGGATTATGCCGAAAAGTTCTTTACTACCCTGTAATGCCTTGCGGTACGTTTTCGATGGGCTACCCTGTATATAGCTTATAAAACTAATGCTCTATTTACGATAAGTTTGCAATGACATCACATTTAGTAATTAAGTGTAGCTGATACAATAACCCTAAATATCTGTTCTGTATCACGTTATTTTTTGTTAAACTAAGTAGTTTGTGGTGTTAACAATGCATTGAATTAAATCATAAAAATTAATCGAACAGTTGACAAATATTTGGTGTTTTAGTTACCTTCGATAGCAGCTCGAAATATTTATCGAGTCGTGTTTGAGAAATTTAAGTGTTGTTATAGACTATTTTGAATAGAAATCTGCAAATTATCGATTTATGATGATTTTAACAAGACTGCAATCTGGGATGTTATTTATAAAAAGTATAGAGACAGTTAGTTGAAATATTAATTTTATATCGATTATATGATTAATTATATTATATGATTAATTTTAGAGAAAAACACGAGTGCTTCTGTGAAGACTTTGCAAAAAACTCCAGGAACGGAATATCTTCAATGGTTGCATATAATCCCTATGGAAGATTGTTGGAGTGCCCAATGAAGCTTGTACATTTTTTACATGACCTTAAAAGGAATACATATATCACTTCGTTTTATTTTCCTTGGTAAATGGTAGATCTTTAAAGATGGTGCTCTTAGCAAGATTCCTGTTCCAAGAGTGTGAAAAAGATCAAAGTTGATGGCGCAAGATATATGTATTTATTATTACATGGAGCATGATAATACATTTAATTATTATTGTTTCTGATTAAAGGTATGTTGTACTTTGTGCTGGTTGTGCCACTTGATTTATGCAGAGCTGCCGTTATATTTCAAAAACATGGGATATGGAGAAATGAATCAAGACTTTTTCCTACATTGGTATATCAGTTTTGGTCAATTACCTTCCATTATTGTCATGCGAGTTATCACAGCACTATCCTGAGCAAAGTTCCAAAGACAGTCTCCAAAATATCTGACATACAAGAGTGGCAAAGTTGGAATAATGTTCATTACGAAAACACATTTTTGAAAACAGTTGTAAGACTTAGTATAAATGTAACTTAAATGTAAAATTAAATATATTTTATGTTGCTGATTTATGTAACTGATATGTTGGCTGATAAATATGATCATCAAGTGCTTCGTCTTTCCCCTTAACTGAAAATTACTAGATACAGATCATGTGGGTTTTGACGGTAGTTCTATCCTTGGCAATCTAGAAAGAGGCTCTTGGAAAAGTAATACCTGAAGTATGGTCTGCGATTGGTGGGATAGAGAAGTTGATTGGAACGAGGGAATATTCTTTCTCTATATTTCGCGGTCAAAATTATAGAGAGTGACAGATATGATATAAAAACACTATTACCATAAAGCGTATAAAATATAAAATGATTTTTATAACGGTTCAATATTATTTGTTTTGTATTAAATGATGTGCCGCTTTCTATGCATATTGATAGGATCTATAATCGTCTATAGATTAAGTTGGTCTATTTTCTAAATATGTATATTGCACTGAATAGAGAATATGGAAATGCTTTTTTAGTGGATGTAAACGGATGTACGTAGAACTTGATTTAGCCGTCGTTAAAAACGCCATAATTTTTTTTATGTGACTGTGTTTTTGAGTACATATTAATGAATGTCAACGAAAAACAAAATATGTAGATAGTATTTTATAGAGTTAATCTTATAAATTAATTTAAAAAACAATTTAAAAAAAATACAAAAAATAAACTTACGTCAATCCAATAACCTCTCGATGAGAGAAAATATATACTTACAATTAGTAGTTCGATACATGCAATGCATTTTTAATTTAAAAAAAATAAACTAATAAGTAACAAATTAACATACAATGTCGAACACGTGTATATATTAAAAGTGAAATTGGTTTTCGTAAATGTAGGAAAATTACCCTAATTGTTCAATTCAAATTTAAATTTTAAAAGATTATGGGTATTAAATCTGAGATATTTATAATTAAAAAAATTAAATTTATAATATAAATTATATTATAACCTGATTTTAATATTTTAAATTATTTTTTTCAATTGTTTCTCATATAATAATAATTTATAGCAAGCGCTTATCTATAGTTTTAATAAATCGTACACACTACATACAATTTTCTCTATTGTATTTTCACTGAAAAACGCTTTAAATAATCTGTATAGGGCTTTAGACAGTCAATTACATTAATCTCATGGAAAAATAATATATTTCTTTTCACAGTGCTGGAGAAAGGATGTTTTATATAAAAAATTATCCCTGTCGTTTTTCTAAAACAGCGTATCAAATAACACATAATATATGTATTTTTAATTCCGATATGTATAGATTTTTAAGAAAATGGCTCATCAAAAAGATGTAGGTACATATTTTGAAAATCGGAAGTGTCAACTTTCAAATTTTATCAAACAATAAACGTGGAGTTAACATTTTTTAGTGTCCTATTTAAGGTCCGTTTAAATTGATAAAAAGTGCAAACCCCTCGTACTAACTGGATTTTAGCAGTCATGTTTCAATTAATTATCATCCTTTAATTGACACAGTCAGTAAGTGGGACAGTGATAGGAAATTATAACACCTATATGAATAAAATTAAAAATCATTTGATGCAAACTTACATACTAATCAGTAGAACCATATAATTATTTCAACATACCTACTATTTGAAGAAATGAAATGAAGAATAAGTAGAAAATCTATGCTAAACATTAGATTCTTTGCAAGCTAGACACATAAAATATCATGCAAGTTCACACAAAATCCAACAAACTGCGAATATTTGAAAAACAAATAGTTTTAATCGTGATGTGATATTTCATATGTTAACATATCAATTAATAAAACAAAAGAAATCTATACCAAAACAGGTAATAGTCAAAGAAAAAGTATTAATTAATTTATTTTGGAATTAAATTTTTAGTTACATTTTCTGTATAAAATAGCCAACTATATTTGTTACATTCCACTTTTGGCAAACAACGGTTAGAATAAAAAACAAAATATGTCAAGATTGTAGCATTTCAAATTAACGAAAAATATAAAGTTTTAGCTTAAACCAAAACAGGAAAGAAATAGTGAAGAAAGTGGCTAAAATTAGAGGTTCTCATTTCTATAAAGCTGATAAGTAAATTAGGAAACATAGATCAAATGGAATTTCTCAATTTTTCAAGAAAGAAATGAAGGGAAAATGAAAATTCAAAGATGCACGAGTTTTGAAATTATATGAATTGCGATAGAAATATTTTGATTTATTAATATCTCGTCATAAGATCATACAGGGTATCTAAATATTTATTGTACATATAATACCACAGATTATTGGGGTCAAAATAGGACGATTTAACTAATTTCTCCTTCCAAAGTTGGTTTGTTTAGCCGTTAGAGAACGTCAAAGTTAGCAAAGGTAATAATCTATATTGTGTAGACGTCTATGTAATCATTGCCTTCTACTAAAAGTTGTCATATTATGGGCTATTTTGAAGGGTGAAAAAGTCAGGAACTACTGAATATGAACGTGACGTAATGAAGATAGGGGTACAACTGTAGTGGTGCATATTCGAAAAATCATTTTACATTTGAACAATACTAATAAATATTTAAAAATTATTTCCAAATTGATGGGTCATCGCATAGCAGTGATTTGACGAGGTTGGACTTTTTTATGAACAAATAATGACAGCTGATACTTCAACTATCCAAAAACAATTGACGCACTTGAGGTACACATCCATCGAGCTTTCGCGAAATTCTTTTCCAAGCTTTATCGGAAAGTGTACTCGTTTCGATAAAGTAATCACTGAAAAGTATTGAACGGAGTAGTAATTTCAAAAAGAAACCAATGTCTACGTATATGAGTCCACCCAATAATACAACCAATTGAACAAACGTATTTGAAAACATTCCAAGCCAGTTTTCCGACTCTTAGCATATAATTTATAACTAAAAAATGAAACTACTCGAATGTTAACTGCCAATAGGTTGAAAATATGTTGAAAATTTTTTAACGTATCTTGGTTATCCATAGTATAGAAAATGTTCCACAACCTTAAAAATTGGCAATAATTCAAAATGTTTGAACGTTGTTATTGTTTCAGTGGCTACCAGAGTAAGACTATATGTATATTTCGGTTACTTCTCAAAAAGTAATATCTATACACAAGTAGGTATCTACTACTAGCACACCAAAGGACCCCGCACAGTAAATGTGGGCTAGTTCAAATTAGCTGATATTGTTGGCTGAAGTTGTTGGTTTTGTGTTACTGATTAAAAACCTCCACCAATTATTTCCTACTTATAACGATCTGAGTCAGTTCTGCTGATGATGGCTTCAAAGTAGTATGAGTACAATATTGCTATAAAAACAGTAATTTTTGTGAAATGTTTATAGAAAAAATTAATTTTTAAAGTAATTTTTGTATGAATTCTCATGTAATGTACTTAGCCTCCGTCTTAGAGTTATTTAGAGAAAACATTTTTGCAACTTTGTCGCTCTCTAGCAGCTAAACAATGCAATATTGGAGAGGTTAAGTAAGTTAAAAAGTGTTATTTTCATCTCAAGAATCTATGACAGTTCCATGTACATGAAATATTGGAATAACTTAAAAATAGTCCAACCACAACGTACAAAACAAGCGACAATATTCCTATTCAGGCAAGTTGGCTTAAACTGAACATTTCTGTAAGCAGCTTATTTAATATTTCCAAAAGTGAGGTTTTAATTTTAAGGAGTTATAGTTTGTCAAAATAATGCGTTTCACAAAAAAACTCTAATAACAGTCTGATAATAACAGAAATTTATTTAAGTTCGTACGTAACAAATTGAAGAAGAGGTTCTCAACATTGTCGAAGAATAACAACTACTAGCACCAAGCTGTGGTTAATGTATCCCAAAGTAAAGTTTAGAAAACTCTACACTAAAACCAATTGTATGTCTGTATCACATTCATCATGTACAGGCATTGCAACCAGAATACCATTTTGTCAAGATTAATTTTTGTGAATGATTAAATATTAGAAAAGAATGAGAATAAAAATTTTTCCTAAATGTGCTGGAGTGGACCTGATTTACGGTGCGCGAACTAAGTTCATGCAATTTCTATTTGTGGGCCCATAAGAAATCTGATGTATAAAACAGAAGTCAGTAAGGATTATTACTAACATCCTGTACCTACTCTTGGATACGCGGAACACAATTCTGTCGCCAGTATTCAGAATGATATGTAGAGGCTGATAGTTCATTCATCAATTTCTCTGTCTTTTTTAATGAAGCATTAAAAACACGTTTTTTTTCTCGTCCTTGTTCAAGAAAGTAACGCATAATTTTGATAAATATTTTAATATTCTAAGTTGTAAATTATTACTCATATATGTACATTAATAATACTGCTTCATTTTGATATAAATAAGCAGCTGTTAAAATTAAAACACACTTTCAAAAACACTCGGGATGTATAAAGTAATATTAAAAATTCATTAGGCGTCGAATATTTATCGGGAATTTCTTAAAAATGAAGTAAAATAAATGTGTTTTTGCTCAATATCCTTGTGCAAAAATATTCGTGTCTCTAGAAAAAATGTAGGCTATATCATGAAAATAGAAGAAATTGCATTTGCAGGAAAGGTGAAGAAAGTAATAGAAATCGAAAAATTACATGGCACAATAATTAACAACACACTTCAAGCATAATAATGTGCTTACATATTTCCCCTTCCTCGGAAATGCTTAGACCTCTTCTTCGTGACATAAGAATTCCTGAAAATTATCATGCGTACATATTCTAGAAACTAAATAAAAAATTTATAAGGATATTAAATACCTATATTTTGATATACGTTTATTATCCTGCTTCACATTTACTGTTTTGCCGCAAAAACTATTTGCAGAGAATTGTGTTATGTGAACCGTTGTACTATGATTTTAAACTTATGTGAATTATGTCGCTATAGGACTAAGCAGAATGAGTAAAAGTATCATGATTTGGTTTTAATTTAGCTCACGAAAAGATTGATATAAAAATTGATTTGTTGACAGATATTTAGATATTGTAAGTAGAAAACTATCTAATAGAAGTTGCATTTGAAATACTTACAACAAATACGAAGGTACCTATTCTTATTCCCATTTAGACTTTTTGTGTATTCTGAATACAAATTTCGGAATAAAGGTTAAGGTAAGCGAGAAAACACACACGTGTAACTTTAAATTGTACACTGGCTGGATAATTTCAGCTTGTGATGCGATTGCCAACATTTTTAAATAATGGAATGTAGATATAAATAAGTAGATGTCATTGTTTTAAATGTAGTGAAATGTCTACGAGTTAATAATATAATTTTAGTGCCTCCAACATAAGTATCGGGTGTTCCAAAATTCACGCAGATTTGAATTTTGCGCAATTTGTTAGATACTTACCTACAGTGTTGCTAACGATAAAAAAAATAGAGCGACAGCTGACAGTTTAGAGCTATTAAAGAAGGAGCGCTACACGAAAGAACAACGCGTTTTCAATGTTAAGCAATATTTTAAAAACAATTAAGGTTTGGCAGCTACAGTTCGAAATTTACAATACAATACAAAATATTGTTGGAATAGTGATTTAACTTCATCAACTGTGAAGAGATTAATTGAAAAGAGACTGGGTTAATTAGTGATCTTAAACACTCTGGCCATACTTCAATAAGTTATTGAACATAAAAGATCGAAGCAGTTCGTAACAGTGTCCAGGAACATCAATTCGGCACCGTGGTCAAGAATTGGGCATTTTGAGAAACTCTCTACAGCGTATTCTTGCTTACAAAGTGCAATTGACTCAAGAACTGAAGCCTACTGACCACACAAAGCGAAAAGAGTTCGTTGAATGGAATATGGTACAAGTGGACGCTGTTTTTTCGAACAAAATTATCTCCAGCGATAAGGCTCATTTTCATCTTGATAGCTTTGTTAATCGACAAAATTGTCGCATTTGAGGTTCAGAAAATCCACGAATGATTTTAGAGGAATAAATGCATCCAATGCAATGCAATGCAATGATTTGGTACGGCTAGGTGCATCAACGGACTATCCTTCTTCGAAAATGCGGCCATTCAGGCAAAAACAGTTAACGGCGCTCGCTGTAGCGATATGATAATTCAGTTTTTTTGCGCCTGAATTACAAGCTATGGACGATATGTGATTTCAATAAGGTACCACATGCCATAAGCTCGAGCAATAATTCATTTTCTCGTGTAAATTTCCTGTTTCGTTGATCAGAATTGGTCTCCTATATCATGCACTTTAAGGCAGTTAGACTTTTTTCTTTGGGATTTTTTGAAGTCTAAGATTTATGCCAACAATCTCACGACCACCCACCCCTTAAAGAATGAAATTGAGCGCTGTGTCAACGAAATTAAGCCGCATTTATGCAAAACGGTCATGGAAAATTTGTGCCAGCAAACTTGTGCAGGCATATATACTGTATACCTTACGAATCAATAAAAGATTTATAGTTTTTAATTAACAACCTGTGTTTTCTATCAAAATTACTTCTTGCGTAAATTTTGGGACACCCTTTGTTACATTTAACAATAAATGCATATTTCCTTTTTTTGTCCGGCAGGATATTTTTCCAAATCCACTTTAATATTCATATAATAGAATTTGCAGAAATGAGGAGGATGATTGTTAATATCTTACCAATTTGGATGCTCCATGGAGAATAATCAAGTCTTTTTAATGTCCCATATATTCGCGATTTCTTTTCTAAAAACTTCATTATAACAGTTGCGCTGCATGAAGGTCCATTTACAATTTAGTGTTTATATATTTATAAAAACTAAAAAGTTTTCAAGAATATGTATTTCATATATGTATGCTTGTTTTTAACTCAACTTGTTATATGGACTTTATTAAGCTTATCATTAACCATTTTATAAAAAAAATACATGATTTTCAGACCATTAGAACCAAAACTTTTGTGTCGCTTTCTTTGCAGAGTTCATGAAAAAAGTAAGGAAATTTTGTCATGTTTTCTTATCAGAGAATCAAAGTTGAAAATATAAATAACATTTTCCTTAACTACTTCGAGCTAATTTCGTTTCCGGAGGTTTTTTTGGGATGGGAAATTCGAATTTATCGACGATTTCTATGTATCTTATAGAGGGCGCCACAAGCGGCCATTAGAACGCATTTAAACTGCCAAGAGTTTTTTGTGCCACGGTGTATTTCACTTCAGCCTGGAAAAATCTTTTCCCTCAACTTTTCAGGCTAATATTTCGAAAGCCAACCGTTTTCAACAAAAACGCTTTCAAATTTGTAAATATGTATATGTATACAAAAATTTGTAAATGAGTATTAATTTATATACAGGGTGTATCTAAATAGCACCAAAAAAATTTAAGAGGCGATTCTGTGATGAAAATTAATAGGGGTCTTTGGTATAAAATTTTCCGAAAAAACTCTCTCCTGAAAAGATACACCCCTTCAAAAATTTCAAAAAAAGTTAAAAAAACTACTCCTTTTGAAATTTGTATTTTTTTTGGTTATGCGAAAACAGTTTGATTCCTTTTGGCATAAAGGTCGATTTAATTCACTTTTAAAATATTTTAAGTGGTGGCAAAATACTCAAATAAACAGGAGAAAAAAACTAAAATTATGACAGCATAGATAATTTCACACAATACACTTTTGTTAGAAACAAATCTATATTTTCTATTCAATGTACAAGATTACCATACAAATTAGCCTCATCTTTCTTCATCTAGTTTAAATACATGCTCTTATTTGTGGATTAACTTTAATGTTCCAACAGAAGTTTAAAGTGTTAGTCAGGCCTTGCCAAAGAGGTTTAATAAGTTTATAAACATTTTTAGTTGCCAATGAGTTCAAGGACTATAACGCCTTAGTGTTAATTTTATTAATCACGTGAATATTCTAGTATACTAATTGTAAATTAATTTGACAGAAACATGTTTAAGAAGTTTCTAAATGAAGATGAGATAATGATAAAATACCAAGGTTGGTAGAAAAATGTTTTATCTAAGTAGAATCGATCACTATAATTCGTTGAATTCGTCTCGGAAAACTAAGGCAATTAATACAAATATTTTTTTAAAAATGTTCTTATCCGTTTTTTTTTAATTCTGAAACTAAGCTGAATCAAGGCTAAAAAGAATCGAGTTTAAACAATAAAATGGAACATACATTCGAAGTCTAATATGCGAAATTTAAGCTTACAATAACAAACTTTAATTTTATATGAAATGACTTTTAACTTCTAATAGTAATATTTAATAATTTGTTTTCAACTTCAAAGGTTATTTTAAATTGTTGCGGAATGAAAGAAAAAATAGTAAATTAAAAAATAATAAGGAAGGAGCCGCCAAAAATTATATTATAATAATATAGGTAGCTTATTAAAGTCATGAAACGTACAAATAGGTAAGTATATATATATATATAAATACCTTAACTACCTATTTTTTAATATGGCAAATTAGATTATAATAGCTACATTCAGTATACACCGACAGAAACTGGATTAGAGTAGTTATTACGTTAAATATAGGTACCTTATTTTTTAATTCTCGAATATACTTAGATATAGCGTGAGACAAAAAATATTTAAAATCTAAAAATTTGCATAACATAAGGGTTGTAGATACTATTAAGTTTACACAAAATATTGAAGTTAACGTCACAATTCTGATAATAGAAAAAGGAACAGTGCTTTCGTTAAAGCGGATGTAGGTATAGTCTTCAAGCATTTTTCATTACATTTTCGGATTCTCAATATCATTTCTCAAAATTATGTCATTTTGAAGTAATTTAATTTCTTTTTGATATTTCGTATTGTTACAAAAAATTGTTAAAAAAATTTTTATTTAACAGTACTTTTCATCACAGAAATTTCCAAAAATAGGCTAAAAATAAAAAAACAGATGATAAATGCAATTCAATACTTGCATACGAATGCAAGCTTCAGAACTTCTTTTACATGAATTATGTGTGTCCTCTTAAATGGCTCTAATTGTGTTGCAGTTTCATTCTATTTGCTGTTATAGTAAATTGCAAGTTCTCAACTGCTACATGACACACCAAATTTTTAAAATGTCCGTCATTTTCACGTCTAATGATTTAGGTGGATATTGAACTGCTCCACAACGTCTAACCAATCTTTTTCTGTCGTTTCGTTTTGGTACTCCCGACCGATAATGAGAAATAAGAAAGAGCATCATGGTGCATAAACTAGGTCTGACATTCAGTGGCATGTCATCAGGTAATAGCAGTAATACCTCTCAAGATATTATTGATTGATTAGGCAATACAACAGCTTCTTTTTTTCTCTTTATGTTTTGGGTATTTGGCCACCTGTGAAAAAATTTAAAAATTAATGAAATAGACTCTTGCGCCAAAAGGATCAGTCAACTGTTATTTTTATAAAAATGGTTTTGCCTAACCAAAAAATCCCACACTGAAAGAAACAGACATATACAAAATATACAACAAAAAACAATCACTTTGTATCGCAAAATTTTTGACGTTTCGAAAAACTATCTGTTTTCATCTACTGAACTTTTTGGACTTTTCGTTTTAGTTGCTTTGACAGATTCTATTCATCTGTCCCCCAAGTGCCAATCTGAATATTTAAAGCGCTGTTGATATCTGGCTTCAACAACAGTATGGAAGTCTGGTCTAAACGTTCGTGTTAAGAGAATTGAAGATTCCGTCCCCTAAAAATCCGGTCTCACCCGTGTAAAGAATGAATGCAAATTAGA